TAATTATAATATCATCAGATATAACAAGGGAAATGTTCACATTGAAAAGTGACACTTCATGCAAATGGCTACTGGGTCGGGCACACTGAACTTTAGCACTTTGTCAGCTTGTTTCCTAATTGAATGAACTTGACAATAATTAAAGTGTTTTATTTTTGCCCTTCATTCCACACATAAAAAGACTGCCATGCCAATTAGCTTTAATTCTCCCTTTCCCCTTTTTCTTTTCATGCTCTTAAGTAGGCAGGAACCGGCATATTCCGATAATTTGCATTATCCAAAGCGAATCTGCTTTGAAGTTCTGAGATACTGTAAGAAAAAGGATCCACTTATCCCACACGAAAAAAATTTCAAAGCTCATAAATTCACTGGAACAGATGTACATTATCATTGGATTTGCCTTTTTTTTCTCTTTGCTCCTGTATTGGTAATAGACTACCTCATGTCCTTCTCATCCTTACCATTTAGCATCTTGCCTTTACAGAAGCTAGCACCCTGCTGTGCCAATCCACACTTCAAAGCGCTCTGCCTATCTGCTGGAAACAAAGCACACAGAACATATTATGGCAGCCTCTCATTTCCCCATATTTAAGTCAGTATCATTGCTTTTTTTTCTTTTTTGCCTGTAGCAACACAGATATAGGTATTATTTCTACCCAAGAAGACCATTCCTCGTGTTACCCGTGTCTCCCAACAACATAAATACAACACAATATACATGCACAGGAAATATTTATCCCATTTTAGTCCTGTATATTTTTTTTTCTGTAACACCAAGCTGTTCATAGCTGTTATTATGAAGAAGTCAGAGGTGTGGTATTATTCTGTGACAAATTACATTAAAGTACATAAAATGTAAATAACAATGTTCAGTAAAATCCTTTTGTGTGTAACTCCTCATACCTCGATTAACTTGTTAGACACCTATGATTACACTGCACAGGTTGTATGTACCACAATACAAATTGGTATCCTCATGGGCACTGGCAGAGTTATTAGAGTAAGTAAATGAAAATGTTCAGATTGTAGTCTTAAATACCTCTGTGCTGTGCAGTACTGAGAGGGCATTACTCTCCTCGTTGCTGCTCTTCATTTTCTTCAGTGTATGCAGGCTTACAAGTCTCCAGAGGATGGTTCTCACAGTAATTGCTCACTGTAGTGCTAATCTATAAATGATCATACCCTTTCCTCAGACACTTTCCTCAGTTACTTCTTGTATCGTAAGCTGACCATTGTTCACTTTGCAGAGAATTCAGGAATCCATCAAGATCTATAGATCCTTGGTCCTATTTATACTGAGAGCTTTAGGCACTGGACTCCTTTTTTTCCAGCTTTGCAGATAAATATATAGAAGATAACAGACAGGGTGAGTGGACACTGTACAGGCCAAATAACTCACCCTCTCTGTTGGCTTTGATTCCAACTGAAGGATGTACCAAGTTAACCTCCTGGAGCCTGGACCGAGGACACTAAGGTCCATCTGCAAAAAGAAAGGACTGATATAGTGTGGAGGTAAGGTACTGAAGCATTCATTAGAGTTATTAAGTAGCAGTTGAAATGTAATGTAATGTAGTAAGCAAGTGTTGACCATCTTTCTTCCCAACTCCAAGGCAAACTTTAGTTTAAACTTGTAAAACATGTTCCCTTACTCTCTTACCTGACACACTTGTGAATAGTCCCAAAGAGATAGAGACAGGCTTATATATGAGAGGAAGGACACTGTCTCCAGTGCTGTCATTTCAAAAGGCGTGAATGCATTATCCAACCGTTACTCTGCACTGGAGAAGAAAATCTCCATGAACACCAAGGCTATTACCAACATATGTGAAGAGTTGAAAGGAGTGCAGATCAAAGTCAAAGTGAAAAAAAAAAAAAATGAAGAAAATGTCAAAAAAAAAAAAGTCTCATGCCAGGCTACAGAGAAGAGAGGATGCAGGAGGATACAGTAGGAAATGGCCCCTTCGGCTATACGGCATCTGAGACTTGCAATGAAGTTTCTGAGCATTTCTTTTTATCAAAGATCACTGCAGAGGACAAAGAAAATCCTGGGTTTATGGTGCACAATTTGCATTTCACACAACAACAAAGCAATGTGTCACCACTTCAATATGCTCTTTGTCAGGATCCTATGATTCAGAAAGAAAACGTCAAGTAAAGAAGGTTGTATCTCTAACACAGTTAATCACTGTGTGCTATGCTGATGGTTCGAGAAAAACCTTCTCGTGAAGTCTCCTCACTTTAATTCGTCAGGTTAGGACCGTTGTTATAACTTGTGTTTTCTTCTCTCTGTTGAGACTTTCATGGCTTTCATTAGTTATGGCAAATATGGCAAAGCAGTTTTATGCAGAGCAAGCATGGAATTTTCTAGACTTGCCAAGTGCTTATGAAACAGTGCTAGTTGTTTTTGTACTGAGTGATGCTCACTTGTGTCAATCACCTCATATATTTGCTCTATCTTTGTCTACTATCAGCGATCCTAACAAAAAGCTTTTGGTGCACAGGAAATGAACCTGAACACTGAATGTTGTGGTCATCCTGACCATTTACCTCTGGTGACGTCAGGTACAGGAACACTCGGTTCACTGCCATGGTGCTGTACACATTGTGAGTCCTAGAGAAATGCATCCGGCTTGTGCTAACACCCCTTCTGTTGTTGCAATTGTGCAAAATTATACACCAGGACAAACAGAGCTATAAGATGCTACCAATGCAAAGACATTTCTCCTCCCAAAAACGTAAATCCTGAAAACTTTGTAAGGCTCAGTGATAATGTTGTTTTTCAGTATGATTTTGCAGGAGTTCCTGTGCTGTTTAATAGACTTAATGCTTCAGAGCCATTTCTTTATTGTTTGTAATTTGTATGCAAAAGTACAACTCAAGCCCGGACTATACTTTCTCTTAGGTGTTTGAAAAAGAAAAATCTCCAGGATAAGCATAAGTAAGCCTGTCTCATCATAGGGGGTGACTTTAAAGGTGCATCTAATGCCTATAAATGGCCGGCCACGCGAACATTTCTCAATATCAGAATAGTTTAAGGCAGGGATCTCAAACTGCAGGCCCATGACATGATGTGCATGATGTCAAAAATATAATATGATCTGGCCTCTTTTTTTCCTACTTGTTTCATATGTATTTAAACTAACCCTTCATATAGTCTACAATAAAATAAAAACATTCTATTTTTAAAAAGTGTATTTAGTTTGGCATGAAACAATGGCAACGTCCTTCATTTGTTGTTTGGCTGCGAACAACAAAGTTGGTATAAAATGAGGATATAAAAGTGTATAGAAACCGCTCTTTGCCATTTTTAAAGTATGACGTTAGTAATTCTAGTTCTAGAACGTTGAAGTGGCCCCCAATACCAGCAGTGGCCCCAAGCCAATCTAAGTTTGAGACCCCTGATCAAAAGATTGCTTCATGTAGCTTCATTTCATCAATATCTTGACTTTAATATCTCAAACTGTAATTCCTCCTTACCCTTATACAATGTCTTACAAAGTAAAGTGGAAATCATGAGATTTGCTTTACCATACATACATACATATCACATACTTAAAAAGAATAAAATTCACATAGGTATTCTAAATATAAGCATTCTTTTCTGTAATGTGAATACTAGCTACTAAAGATTTTCCTGTAACCTTTGAGAGTAATTGTGTTCATATAATTCTAATGACTTACATTACACCTCTGACATGGACGTCTGATGCTTTAAATAGCTGAAATGTGTAAATTGGCGGTAAGAATAACCTGGTTAGCTGTGTTAGGATAGAAATCATTTGTAATGATCATACAAGTTGTGCGGGTTACACTGCCTTGCTTACACAAATAGCCGTGTTCGTGTGAGGAAGGAGTATCACATTGCCAAGAGGCAGACTCTCTGTGGTTGTCCCGACCAGAGATAAGCTGCTAAGCTGCAGATGAAAGTGTGTGTGCATGTAGAGAGTGTGGCGTGGTGAGCAGCTGTGGTCAGCCAGATTTGGGAACCCTCTGTGACACCACGGTTAAGATACTTTACTTTACTGCACAAAAAAACACACACACACAATTCCACACATTACCCTTCACATCAATCCATCCGCCTTCTTGGAAATAAGAAATATAAAAGCAGATAAAGGGAAAAGATGCACAATAAAAAAATGCAAAATGTATGAAAAGGTTGATCAGCAATGGAGATAAAATCAGTGGAAAATGAAATAAAAATGTTATCTGGTTTTATAAAAGTGTACCAGGCAAAAGTAAACATGTTGTCCCAAATAATACAGGCTCTCTCTCACCCAAACCTCATCTTGTTTAGATCCTGAAGGCCCCGTATGGCCATCAGCAGCACAGTTTCTCAGTGGATAACACAGTTGCCTCACAGCAATACTTTGGGGCCTTTCTGCGTGGAGTGTACACGTTGTCCTGAGTGGGTTAGATGGAATGGAGGTTCACTGTAAGAATGAATAAGGTTTGCTTCGTGAACTGCACAACTCTCTGAGTTTTCTCTCCGTCCACCATCCAGCGCCTCTAAAGCTTACATCTAATTTGTTAGTGTAAAATCGACATTGGTGGTCTTAAAGGGTTTATGTGCTGGACTGTTTCTGGGCCAGGTGGAGGAACTTCCTGAGGTCTGTACTGATTGCATGGAAACCTCCCTCCAGACATTAGAGTGGTATCAATCCTCGAATCTAACTCTCAGCAAGAAAGCCAATACGTTTATTTCCCCAAATTAAAGATTTGGCAGTAGACTTTTATTTTATTGAATGCAATGCAAATGTTATGTTTTAATATAAATAAATGACATACTAATGTATTTTAAAGGGATATCTCCATGTTGTTAATTAAGGGTTCATTTGCAAAAACATAGATCTCCATTTTTATTTATTTTCCTAAATCATGTTGTTTTTTTATTGTGCAATCAAGAGAAAGAATCTGTTTTTTGCACATGAACTCAATCTGCACAGGAAAACAGATACTGACAGTAAAAATGAAATAAAATGACCCCAGAAGTCAGTGCATTTATAAGGAACAGGTTCATACTTTAATAAAAGGGTATTTTCCCTTGGCACAGATCTGCTATCAAATAAATAAAGAAATGAATCAAATACAATCTATATAAACTAAACAAAGTCATGAAAAAACATTAGGAGGGAGGGGAAAGGGAGAAAAACAGCTAGTGCTAAACAACTTTCTTTTACAACAAACACCAAGTGAAAGTGTGTCTGTGTGTGGAGAGAGAAACAGCTTGTGTTATAAACAGATAATCATTCCTCCCTGCTACATGGGATTGGCGTGGCTGATATCGGAGCACTAACTGACAGTAAGCAAGTGAGATAGCTTGACAGTTATTTAATCATAAATAAGCCTTAAATTCTTTCTACATGATGCTGGTTTATCCTTTCTGCAGTCCACTATATACATCAGATTTTTAAAGATGCTGATACATGGATCTTACAAAGCAAATTAGTGGTGCAATACATACAATATGAGACGGTGGATGTAGAGAAGACTTGATGAGATGACATAATTTGAAGTCTTGATTCTTGAAAAGAGGCATCCACTGAAAAAAAAAAACATCTGGTACATGGATAACTGAAAACCTTAGTATTTTATTTTGGATTATTTCCCACAGTAAATGGAAAAGTCTGTGTGACAAAACTGACTAAAAACTGCTTTCCCAACTCTCAACAAATATTGCCGCGGTGCTCTTAAGCATGGCATGTCACCCCCAGTTTCTCCAGTGATGCTGCTTTGAAGTCTACAGTATGAAAGTGTGTTTGTAGTGGGTAGCTTTCCAGTGTGAGTTCAGGTAATTGTATGAATGTGAAGCAGGGCATTAAAAAGAAGAAGGGACTTCAGTCTGTTCAGTAAAACGCTCTCCGGGTAAAAGAAGTTTCACCTAAATTCCTTCAGCAGCTCTCGCTCACCGTGTCCAATCGGACCACCCTGCAGGACGAACAGTCGCCTGCATGCTGTCCGTTCACACACCCAGACCTACATTTCCACGCTACTTATATTCGGGGCGTCACACTGGTATCAACACTGTTTCGGTTGAGGGGAAACCTTTGACAAAGGAGTTACAGTCTCACGAGGGGCTCCGGCAGTGAGGACCTGCAGTGTGAAAAGCAGCGTGAGGTGAGGAAGCTGAGGTATGGAGCGCAGCTGTGATCCCCCCTTGGGGGAATGACGCCGTTTCCACCACAGGGTCCCGTGAGATGAGCCGACTGACTGGTGCCTCTGCGAAAGGACGGCCTGCAGCTGTGAGAGGACACCGCGGGGCTCAGGGCAAGACTGGCATACACTGCATTCTTGCTCATCACAAACACACGAACACGCTTATGTCAGACTTACACAACTAACCCATGGTTGATACGGAGCAGTGTATGGATGAGGTTGCGCTTGGGCACAGCACTGAAACCCTAACAGAAGACTGTGGCTGTATAAGGGCAGGTCATTTATAAATGTGATGCTAGGACGTGCTGAGAAGAACACGTGTGCTCGCCAAGAACACCAGGGAGAAAACAACTATCCCGGAGGAGGTGATGGACACCCTTACACTGGCAGCTCTCAGTTCACCGCCTTGCATCTGCAGGTTTATGGCAGCACCCAAAGCGCATCATGGGATAGGATAAACAGACAGTCCCTGGTGCTGGCAGGACAACAGCAGCAGTGAGTTATGGGTCTAGTGGAGACTGCGGGCCGGGCCCAGTGTTATCCAGCACCAGAGGAATGGGACAGCTGAAAGAAACCCCGCCCCACCACACCACAAACAGAGCCTTGTTGGCTGAGCTCTGAGGCCACATGGCAGCACGGTGAAAGACCTGCTGACAGCTGGGGGATAGGAAGATGCCATGGAAACAGAGGGAGCAGCCATGTGACCCCGGGCCAGGCCGAGGGCTGGACAACGGAACTGCTAAGAGTTAGGGAAAGTGCTAACATGACAGCCAGAAATGTCCAAAAGACAAAAAGTAAACCAGGATCTGAAGGTGGTGAAAGATGACATGCATGTTCAGCAAAATATTTCCCTGCATACATAACTGTAAAAAAATAAATAAATAACTGTCCTTAAAAGGTCATATTCCACACTGGTGAATGAATACATAAACCTCTAACAGGGTTTCAATTTATACAAATATGCCAAAAGCACTGATCACAATCTCTAGTTTTGCTTCCAAGTGTATCATGGGATTTAGAACATGTGATTTAACTGCTGACACTTTGGACATTAAAATGAAAAAGAAGGCTTTTGTAAGTGGACTGGCACTTTTAAGTTTCTAATTCATCTTTATGCAGAACGCACATACTAGCACATAACAGTCCCGTAAAATTCCAGCTTAGATTACAAGAACTAAACTTGAGTGATGTGCACTGATATGTGGTCTACACTACAGCCTCGCATCTTAAAATAATTCCTTGTTTAGTTCCATGATATCAGCAAGCATGGTTTCTATAAAGCACTAGTATGTGACGTGAGTTTGAGCTACTGAACAGCACCTGTTGAGAGTTGGGATTTTAGTCATTTGGGCATTATCACTAGATCACAGTTCGGTATCTAATCACATGGTGAGACAGTTGAAACAGAAGGAGAATGAGAGAGAGTGAGCGTGAGATTGAGTGAGTAATACAATTCTAGTCAAATGAGGCTCCTAGTGGTCTTATAAAATGCGGTTGTGAAGGAAAACAAACATAAAAGCTTCAGATAGTGAATACAAAGATATCACATTATCAATAAAGCTTATAAAATTGATAACAATATATACCTTATGTACAGTAAATGTTAGTTAATAAAAGTAAGGAGCTTTTTCGACACTTCAGTACTGCAGATTTTGAGACGATTTTTCTTCTTTCAAAAAAAATTCGAAGTAATTTGAAAATAACCTCTGAATGCTTAGTCAAAGTCACCATTACAACAACAATTAGGATAAAATTAGAGGTAGCAGCGGATTTGGGATCTTTTTTTTTTTTTTTTTTCTTTTTACTTTATAACATTTCAACATTTCCTTCCCATTTTTGCTTACGGGGTATTGCGTGCTTGAATCAGAATCTTCATTTTCATCTTCAAAAACCTGCCTGACAGCCTGCTTTAAATACTCACGCACCCATGAGCGCACTTCAAGTGGTTTTCAACAGACACCAGTGTCGTGACACTCACACACACACACACACACATATATAAACACACTCTTGCTGCGCCCACACATTCACGCGTGGCTTCACACACACACACACACACACACACACACACACACACACACACACACACACACACACACACAATTACACACTATGCCCTGCTCTCCTGTCACCTATAGTCCTTCATATAATTTCATCTTTACATCAGTCTTTCTTCCTCTCATCCCTCCTTTTCCTTAAAAACCTTTTGGCTTAGTGGTCTGGAAAGGTTGTGGTGCTGGTTTGGAGCCGTAGAGTTCATCAGGTAGAGGATTACAGGGTCAGGGGGGAGAGGAACGTGTGGGTTGTTAAGTTAGTTGTCCCTCTGTGCCTCCTCTCTAGCCCCAGCCGTGATCCTCAGTCCTGGTCGTACTAGGGCCCTGAATCACTGTCCTGCTGCATACCCAAGCTTTTGTATGACCAACCTCTTTATAACACTGATTAATAACCTCCCAGCACTGGGACACCCCTCCCAAGATCCTCCTCTCCTACCCATGTCCTATGTCCACTACAAAGCCACTGCAGCACTGCACACTGTAAGGCAGCGCGGCAGTGTCTGCTGGCCTGGCTGGGGTTTATGGGGCTGCAGGAGTTGTCCCAGGCAAAGTGAGAATTCAGGACTGGTAAAAGTGGTGGTAGTGGTGATGGTGTTCATGATGGTGGTGATGCTCATGCCGCTGCACCACTTGTGCCAGCCCCCCCTCGTACAGCAGCACGCTAGGCAGGTCCCTCACGTGCTCTTTCTCTACCACTGGTCCTGGAGCTGCCAGAGAGCCTAGGGCCCTGTAGCCCTGGCTTTCCTTGGACCGCTGCTTGTGCTTGCGGTAGGGGGCTGTGGACTGGTGAGGGGGCATCTGACTCGGTAGCGCCGGGGGAGGAGGTGCACCTCGACTTCTCATCACCCTGCCACTGATCTGCGCAGGAGGTGTGCGGCTGTGGGTCTTAGGGGATCGGAGGGTGTGTTTCCCTGAGTCCTGGCCTCGCGTACGGGGGGTGGGATGGAGGCTGTCTGCAGCAACAGCGTCCACAACAGTCTGCAAGCGGCGGTGGTGGGAATGGGAGTGGCCATTTTCTGGTTCGTGGGAGCGAGAGCGAGTCTGGTTGGATGAGCGAGTCTGAGGCTCGGCCTTCGTGGGCTCTGTGGTGGGAGCTGTGAGGGAGACAGACAAACAATTCCATCACAGGACTGGACAATGTCAGAATTAATTACATGGAATCTCAAACAAAAAAAGGGCAGAAAAACACCCCATTATGTGCAAATTATTGTGCCAACAGATAACTAATAAAGATCCACTAAAATGCTCCACGATAAGATTCTGGCAGCTTTACTTCAGGTTCTTTCTTCATGCGGATAACCCTGACACAATGTGACATAGAGCAGATCTCTGTTAGCACTTTCCTAACAGGACCAACATTAAAATAATCACATGTCATCACTGACCATCAGATCAAGGCTTCTGCTCATTAGACCTAATATTTCACTTCACAACAGCCCGTTCTGTTGATGTGCTTCAGCCTTGAACACTTGATGTATTGTGCTTGCCCGAGCCCAGATGTTTGTACTGGCGAGGAGCACAGTGGGCTGCTAGTTCCACCTAATGGCTCCAAGCAGGTGCCGCAGTAATGAGGGCCCCTGGATGCAGCTTCAAAGGGCCACGGGCTGTGTTTCTCCCTCACCTCTCCCCCTCTGCACCCCTGGCCCCAGTCCACTCACCGGCTCCGAAGCGGGATGTGTAGTTTTCGATGCCTGCCAGGTCCAAGTAGTGGTTCCTGCGTTCCAGGTTCTCATCCACACAGTGGCGCTGGCAGCCCGGCTGGGTGTGGTGGTCACTGTGGTGGCGCCTGTGGACACAAGCGGCACCTCTCATTACGTAGTAGTTTGGGCCAGAGAAGTTCAGTATGGTAGTGTTTGGAGAAAGTAAAACAAGTGCTCCTTATGATCAGACAGGGGCAGAGTAATTGTTAGAGAAGTGAGATTGTGACTGGAAAATCACAGGTTTAAACCTCAAATGGGAGTATCTGAAAAGTGAGGTAAGAGGGTGGACTCTCTCCTCCACTCTTAAGTCCTCCTCTGTACAGTGGAGGTACATTTGGCCAAAAATTTATTAAAGAGTAGAGGACTATTGCAGCTCCCAAGTGTGAATCCTTCCTCAAACAACCAATGCTAGTCTCCCGTCTTCTCTTTTAAAAGTGAATGATCAGTGATATAATAAAAATATCCTAATAATAATAAACTTTCTTCTTCTTCTAGTAGACATCGCAAGCTTTAACAATAGAGACTGAAGTATGCAGAAGAAATGGGTTTACCTTAGGAGTGCTCGAGTCTTCTTGTCTGCACTCTTGGGGTCTTCTATGCACTTGTCATTTTTCTCCCTGGGGTGGGACATGTCTGTGTATGTGTGAAAGACAGGAGGCTATTATCAAAGAGAGCTACACAGAGCAGCGCCACACACACACACACACACACACACACACACACACACACACACACACAGACGACAACAGTCACACAAGCCTCAGAAGAAAGCAACCTTTGTTTTCGGGGGTTTTACTTTGAAGATCTATAGAAAAGGAAAAACAACAATGCTTCATTTATTCTATTTTCAACACCCAGCCTCTTATAAGGCATGGAATGAAATAAAAAAAACATGCAGACTTCAGAAATAGTTTATTAAGGACGCGAGATCTGATGCACTTTCAAATTAGCATGAAGGCAACCGGCGATATTTTCAAAGCTTGCTCTGTTTGAATCTTTTGACGGATATTTATAGCTGAAACAATAGGACACGAACACACAGGAATATATACTTTTTTGAGATATTTTTTCCCTGACTACTTGTTTACCAAGTCGTCAGTGAGAAAAGTTAAGTTGAACGTAGCTATATTTTCCCGGCAGCTCTGAGAAGGGGGGAGGAAGAGAGGGGAAAAAGGGAACTTTGGAGAAAAGAAAAATGGCTGTGGTTATCAAAAAGGACTCGGCGCATCTCTTAAGGTTTCTTTCAGAGTATCTGAAGGCACTGAGGGAGGGGGGTCCTCTCTTAGCTCTGTCACTCCCCCCATCATTAAAAATGAACCCCATTGAGTGGGAGAGATGGAGCGACGCCGAGACTGCGAGGAACAAAGGTCTGACAGGCCCTGAAGCAGACGCATTTCTGCATGACAACAAACACATCTCTGGGTGAGCTGACAGCAGGCAACTCAAGGGGGGACCCCAAAATGCCCTCTCTTCCCCTCCGCCCCCACCCACTGTGTTAATGTGAGCTTTACCTGCCGCGCCCTGCGTGCAACTCCTCCACCGCTGGCTGGAGTCCGGAGCCACCGAGAGCTTGACCCTCAGTGTCTTGCTGCTGCTGGGAGAATGGTTGACAGAGGCGTCCACGACCTCATAGATGGTGTGGAGCAGGCTGGTGATGTCCTGCAGGGCATGGGAGGTGGAGGTGAGTTTAATCTGGGCTTTGTGATACACAGTTTCTATTTAAGAGATGAGAATTAATCACAAAGTATAAAAAAAGATTCTTGGTGACGTTCGTGCAGAGACATTTTCGATGCGCATATTTTACCCAAAAAATCATCAACAGAAAGGGAACAGAGGCGACTCGTCTTATCACTATACTGTTTGAATTCAATATTCTGTATCTTTGTGCATTACAACTCTGCATCATAAACTTCATGCTAGCTAGGAATTTAAAGAAGTGACTCAGACAACAGTGAAGAGAGAAACACACTGATGTCAGTTGTTTTAGTTCAGCTTTCCAAGTGAAGCGATCAGACAGGGTGTAAAGACAAGTTATAAATTCATGAAAAAGAAACGTCTTGGTGGTAGCAGGAGAAGCTGACTGGGATGTCAGCCTTGATGTGAGTCGTGTTACAGCTGCAAGAGCTCTACGCTGTCTGTATTTAGTTCCTCAATATCTCTTAAATTTACATCTGCATAGGAAGCAGCACCTGTTTTCACTAACAATGTCTACAACTAATGTCCCACTGTCACGACTAAAACTAAAAGGGGAAGGAGATTTTGCAGTAGCTGCTCTACAATTGTGGAACCAGTTGCTGTTGCTGCAGATATTAGACATGCCCCCCTCCAACATTTAAATCTAGGCTAAAGGCCCATTTTTTACTCACTAGCCTTTTTAGCTCACTAATCTTTTAATTGGTTAGTTGGTTCAAGTCTATAATTCTGTATTTTGTCTCTTGTTGTTTATTGTTGTCGTTGGTATGTTTTCTCTTTGTGTTTGTATTGTATAGTTTAATGTGCAACACTTCGGTCAGTTTAAGCTGTGTTTAAATGTGCGATATGAGTAAACTTGACTTGATTAATGAATGTGCAAAAGCATGTATGCATAAACTCAAACACATGCAAAGCACCTCATGTCCACACACATACAGGAACACACAAGCATGCCGTTATAGGTCTGTAGATAGGTCCACCAAGGAAATAAAGGGATCACAGAAAAATACGGAATTATAGAAAAAAAGAAAAATACAACAATTATCAACCTCAATACTTTCAAATTAAAAGTGATATCATGTTCACTTGAACCAGCATTAGGTAAGTGCTTGATTTGCAATAAAATAATGCAGTCCCTTGTGGCTGTTTAGAAGCTATATTTTGCACTGGTGAGTGTTTTTGTGCACCATACTGAGCTAATGACTCCCTATTGGATGTTAGCAACTGTGCTGGATTTTTTCATAGCAAACCAAAATTTTAATTGTCCATGAACAATTTCACCTATTATGGTAGGAAATTAACTGACTCACGCAGTGTCTCAAATCTCATTAGTGTTTTATTTTAGAAGGGAACACAGCTCCACCATAAGAGCGCCTTTGACAAAACTGCTGAGAATTAAGGCACAAAAAGACTCCAACAGCATGATTCTCACTCACTAGTCTGACTCTCACTCTGACTCATAACATAAAGCACTATTATGAATTCTTCAGGGACTGGTTCCACATACTGGTTTTAGACATAGGCGCACTGTAAAGAAAAAAGTAGTAATAAAAAAAAGAAATAAAATAAAAGCTTCCTGTGTCATTTTTGGTTTCCTTCTGTTTTTTATTTGTGTGAAGGAATAAAAAAGAGAGTTGGAGAAGAAAGCTTTTCTTTCCTCCTCCAAGCCGCCGCCTGACGTCTCATGAGCCATGGAGCCACAGGCAAAGCCAAAAAAACTGCACAGCCAACCACACAGAGGACAGCTCAAGTCTCTTTGCGCTGTTTCAAGTTGTTTTCAAAAAACATGGGCCTTTCTGGATGTTCTCTCAGATCTGTACCAGGCAGACGCAAGCCACAAGGTACCTCGCAGGAGCGGAAACACACAGATGTTGCTGGATTTGGTTATTGGGAGCGAGGTTGGGTTAGAGGCTTATAACTCCTAGCCTCACTTCTTCGCCTCGGGGGTGTGGTGATGCCAGAATATGGTAAAATTTAAGCTTATTGATTAATTCCCATACCCAAAAGGAGGGTGTTTTGTAGCTGAACCACATTTTTGTGACACTTAATAGCTGTGTTTTCAGATGTTTGTTTCATAGTTTCATTTTTGCTAATGCAATGCGTTTCAAGGCCCCATATTATATGATAAACACAACACAACAAAGTCACCTAAATAAATACTACTACAGTTACTGTGTAGCGTTGACAGATGTTTGTCTGTTTACTGTAATAAATACAGTAAGTAAGTACAGTACTATTCCTCCAGATTAATCACTGCTCGGAGAAGAAGATTATTACCTCTCTGGTGACTTTGCCATTGTTGTCAAAGTCGTAGAGGGTGAAGGTCCACTCCTGCCTGTTATCCTCCTCCACAGACACAGCACACTCCAACTCCTGAAACAGCACAGCATTGAACTATCAGTATCATCCAGTGTGTGTGTGTGTGAGATTGTGTATTTGTGTGTGTCCCCTCACTGCCCTAGTTTCATCCAGAGGGGAAGTAATAAACGTCCTGTTCGGTGTTGACACTCACTTCAAACTGGAGCTGTTTCTGCGGCCCTGCGGGAGATTGGCTGTCCCTCTCCTGCATCTTCTCCTCCACACAGCAGCTGTCTGTCTTCTCTGGGGGTAAAGCCACTGCAGTGACACACACACACACACACACACACAAAGATAAAAGAGAAAGCCTGAGGATGGAAACGTTGGGTGCAGTCATAACCTGAGGATATGTCGTTGCCTTCAAGTGTTCCTTGTAAGCTTCTACTTCCGAGTTTGGCATCCGCAATTAAGATGTGTCACACGTTCAAGTGCTCCTGGTTGGAAATAAACTTACACAGCCCAACTCCTCACGGTTTTTGTCTCACTGCCTATATTCTGAAATGGTGGTTTTATATTCATATCAACATATTCATTAGTAATGCCATATTTTCTAAGGCAGAGCAGGCTCTGCTGTGTTTAGAATAAGTAATGCACACGCAATATCACTAACTTTAAATGTTGCCACTTGGAAATCAAAAATTTCATTTGGTTCGGCTGCTCAACTGCACTGAACTTGTAGGGTTAAGTCAATTATTGCATCATTCCAGAGAGAGTAAGTAATGTTGAACCAAAGCAGTGATATCAAGACAGGAACTGAAATCCAAAATGTCAATCCAAAGCAAAAAGGAAAAATACTGAAACTGTGACAGACTGTGATTCTCTGGTGGCAAAAGCTGTTCCATCAGTCACACTTTTAGTAATAGTTTTTAAGCTCTTGGCTACAGTGTATATATCCCGCTGGGTTGAAGGGAGGATGTCAAACATGAAACTGAATGACATTAACATGTCTAAAACATGATAGAATATTAGGTGGTATTCGAATATATAAATGGAGGATCGGAAACAGCGAATAAACATCAAAAGGCCTATAGGAGACCCCCGAGTCCCCGGCTCAGTGCAGCAGAGCTCATCATTTCATGGATGACATTCACCGTACATTACCATCCAGACATACAGTAAAGACAGACGGTCATGAGGGACTACTGATCTGTCATATGCACTTAAGCTGAGGACCCGTGTAGAGCCTGACACATTTTCTATACTGTTCTACACTTTGAATGCAATAACGCTGGGTTTTCACAACCCTGCTCTGTTATGAATCGTGTCAATTCCACATTACAGATGATGCTGGTGTATCTTTGCATTGCACTATATTTAACGGTGGTCCACTCTGGCGGACAAAAATAACACAACTGTCACTGTCTGGTTCAGTGTTTTAGTTTCAGTGTTGGATGCTGGCCCAGATGTAATTCTACCGGATATCCTTCTCCGCTTTGAAATCCAGCTTTTGTTTGACACATGAGACCGCAGATACACACAACATGTAACTGAGATTTTGGAGGTGTGCATGTCGGCTCTTTTGTACCCAGACACCCCTTTCTTCATCCTCAGAATTATTTTTGTGTATTTTCACAGAAGCTTGTTACAGCCTTTACCCAGCCACAGTCTCTGTGTGTTTCACCTCTGGTCATTTTGTTTTGAGCTTCAGCCCCATCCTCATCCAATCATGGTCCTGCAGGCAGCGCGCACACCCATAAACCACACCCCTCTCTCTCCACCCTCCCCCTGCTCCCCTCTCCTCCCGTCACACTTTGAAGTCCCATTCTCAAACCTTTTGGAAGAAGATCAGACCGGCTGTAAAACAGAATCACTAATTAATTAAGCCAAGTCAAATCTGAAACACTGTTTGTTTGCTCGCCAACGGAGCAGACACAACAGCCCAATTTCTTTCCTCCTGATCCAAAGCAGATCAAAGCAGACCTGTCTCATCCCTGGGTAGGGGAAAATGCCAAAAATGAAAGGCATCGTCCCAGGGAGCTTTTACCAACTTTTTGGAGAGGAGCAGCATTTGGGGTCCCGCTGTTTGATCATCTGAGGTGCTCAAAGGGAACATTGTGTGCGAGGGCAAATCTGTTCCGTAGCAGGCTCAATATGGTGGCGAGATGCTTATCTCGGAGCTAATGAAATGCCGGGAGGAGTAACAGTAATCTGCTATCACCCTCCTCCCTGCCTGACCCCCCCCCACCACAGACATAAGCCCGCTCTTTATGAGAGGAGCTGAGCCAGGGGATTGGCTGCACATCAGATCTGAGGGGCAAGACGAGGGCAGCCGAGGCAGGCACCCTCCATACCTAGCCTGTTCCAGCAGCCCTGCCACACGCACGCACAAGTGCGTGCATACACCCGTACACACACGCAGAAATGAAGGCAGTCAGGAAAGCTGCCACACACTGTGAGCAATCACACACAGCTTAGCTAGGCTACTGTATTACACACAACTGGGTCTGTCCACCCTATTGCATTCGGACAGCTCAGTGCTGGGTACTAAGGTGATTTTGGGACGGCCAGGATGAGAGTGCCTTTGTGGTGCTCATTACTTTTTCGCCTCCTTCAGGAGAAACCACTGAAGAACTCATGAGCAAGGCAGTTAATCCTCCAGCTGTCTCCTTTAGCTACTTCATGGCCAACACTAGAGAGTGTAATTTAATCTGAAACAAGGTGCTGATGAACCAGAGTCTCTTCAGCAAACTCTTCCTCTTGCATGCTTGCAGTACTGATGTAAAAAACCCTTTCATTTTTAGGCCTTCTTCCCTCCTTTGCCATTTTTGTTGGCAAATTTTTCTTTTCCTTAAACCCAGAGGAAAGCAGGCTTATATGTGTGTCTGTGATCTCTGCTCTCACTGATTTCTCTCTTATCTTTTAGTCAACATGTCTTGTTAGATGTATGGACAATGGGTCTGATCACTGCACTAAAAGAAGTTCATGCAGGGGACATCATAAATCCTCCACAGCTGTCTTTATTTGGGTCTAAGTGTGCCTGAGGATGTACAAAATGGTTTGCTATTCGAACATCGGGACAATTTATTCCAAACTAAAATAAAGAGCTGTTTAAATCAATTGTTTTTATTGGAGGACATTAACAAAGTAGTTGCAAATCAAATATTTTATCATTTGTCTGGAAGAAAGCTTATGTAGGACGTATCCACCTCGGGCTCATAAGGTAAGTCCAAACTCTGACGCCATTTTCTAAAGTGTGAAGCTTGAAACAAAAACTGATGATTAAATTCAGCTCCACTCAACAATGCTCGAAACTGCAAAGTAAGGTAGCAAAGATTTCCCATTCTTTCTGACTGAGACCCCAATGTACTTCTCCACTCGCAGACGTTGCTGGCTGTCAGTTATTCAGTTTGCTTTAGAAACTTGAAAGTGAAAAATATAATTTGTATTATGGAAATATTCACACAATCTATGGAATGTTTTATTGAAACAAATTACTTAGGCCTTCACCTTTTAATCATTGAGAATGAACAGAGCAGCCTGTTCTAATTAGCAACATCTGTCTTAAAGGGAGGACAACCTCAACCCAGACTCAGGTTCAGCCCAATGATTAAAAATCGTTTCATACTCCATTTATCAGTCGTGTTATCTCTTGTCTCTCTACTTTGTTCATTATCCAGTGAAGCAGAGTTGAAATAAAAGTGAATTCTCTGCCATGCTTCCAAATTCTGGGCTGGTTTTCGTTCAGCTCTTCATTTCTGCCTCCACCTCACGTCCAATTCTGCCTTTTAAATGGGAGGGAGGAAGAGACTTTTTACTCCCGGAGCTCTTAATCCAAGATCACATCACATCAGAGAAAAAACACAGAGGAATGGAGGCACTTTGCAGAGCACCACAGGGGGGAGGGGCGGATGAGAGACTGAGAAGGTGGAGAGGGAAGGTAAAGGGGACCTCATCAGCACATTGTTGGGGCTTAGAGAACGGGTGTGGAGCAGAGGGGAAAGGATGAATGGCTGCAAAACAGAACCACACAAGTACCTGGAGGGCAATTGCGAATGGTGTTTTTGCAGGTTTTCAATCAAATTAAAATAATGAAGGGGAGCAAAATCAGTGAAATGAGCTGGCGATGATGATGAAGAGCAGGGGGCCTACCTTCCAAACGGTAGTGTTCATCACCAATTCCCTCTGCACATGCTTCGTCCATGGAGTCCTGGAGAGAAAAAAAACAGAAGAAGACACATATATCATTTCAAGTCATATAACGGAGAAGCATCATATTTTTGTCACATAAAAACAAACATCTTTAACGGTGCAAATCCACAGCACAGCTTTCCAACACAGAGTGACATGCCCGAATCAAAATTACAGCGTTTATATATCTATATATGAACAAAGTTTGACAACTGTGCACTGAGCTTAAACAGCAGTGGAAAGTTTAAGATGATGGTAATTGCAGGATTGAAACAAACTGAGCATGAGGCTGGCAGTCAGAATTGAAACTATGAAAGAAGTATCTAAATCGCTGCCGCCGGCCCTGTAGGGAATTCTGAGAAAGAGGGATGGTAGTAGGGCTATTTCGGTGGCGTGCTATCGTTGCAGCGATACGTTCAGCGGCTTGTTTTTATCCCGGACTGTTTTCACCCGGGCCCCCCTTTCCTGGCAGCTCTGTCTGTTAGTGCATACCACAGAGACTGGAGGGACATGTGATCCCCCAGGCTTCACTATGGAAAAGTCTGGCTCAGGTATCCATGTGGCATTACAGTCATCTGGCCGAAAAAACCATTACTCACGGGCTGACAAACTCATATACATGCACACATACGTACACACACATAGTCAAACATATACACACAGATACACCCCTGGCCTCGCTCCATATCAAAGTTTTTCTATTGCATCAAAAACAAAATGCACACAGACTCTGCTGAGACAGACCATATTAACAGCAGCGTAACCATAGGTGTTGATAAACCTTAATAATTAACTTCATAAACTTGGAATTGACTGCGTTTATTGTATAAATGCTGGTGTGTTCATAGAGAGTGTGTGTGCGCATGTGTGTGTGTGTGTGTGTGTGTGTGTGTGTGTGTCAGAGGCGAGGCTGTGACAGCGTGAGAGGGGATTTCTGTGTAATCCAGCGAGGTAGAAGGTCAGATGGTGTGATCCTACCCTCCTCAGACCAGTGCCGGCCGGGCCGCAGAGCTGTGGGTGGCCTCAGGAAGAGAATACAGCAAACCACAGGACTAACTGGCTGGCTGTCAGGCTGATACCCCAAAGCAGGGACCAAGGATAAACCTGTGTTTGTTGTTGGTATGAATGGGTCAACACACGTTTCTATCTGGCTTCATGACCCTGGTCCTGAGCTGGATTTAATGTGGTCTGCTCAGCTTTAGTGTGAGGAAGGGGATATCAGTAGTTTAAATGAGAATTGCAGGATTACATTAGAGTTACTACAGAATGCAGGTAAATGATAATTGAACTATGAACCTTTATACAAGCTCAATAATACATAAACAGATGATAGATTTGTAAGCTTAAGTAGGCAATGATTTTTAGAATTGGATTCATTTCCCAGGAAGAAACAATTTTGCACATTTGCTAGCTAAGTTCAATTTGTCAATATAAGACCACAGTCATACTTAAGGCATTATTTTCAATAGGCAGTTCATTCATGTTAAAGGGATGGCAGCAATTTCTACAAGCATTTGTAGGATTTATGGTACTTGTCAGCTTTCTGTGTAGTGATAAAAATATCTCATTTGAGACTTAACTTTCCACACACATTAATGTAAACTGTAATAATGAAAGAAAAAGAAGCTTGAAACAATATTGTCTTTTCTTGGATTTATTGGAGAAGTTTCAGCATGTTTGATTGGGTTGAATTTAACTGCATAGTAATTCACAATGGTAATATTCACTGACAAGTAGCAGAGTTGAAATACACTCCTTACTGGTGGATGTTTTTAGTTTCTGATAGTAAGCCTCAGCTCAGTTGTCAGAACCTTGTGTGAAGTGTACTTTAGTTAGCTTTGAAAGAAACCATTTAACCTGCATTGGACCCAGTCTTGTGAGACAGCTGTCATGGGGAAATCAGTGTCTGCAGTACAGTTTAACATATTTAACTGCTATATACACCATTACATTACATAGCTAATACACGTTATTATAAGTTTAATTTTGACGTCTGTCCACACACACACTTGTTTTCTGCAACTAAACCTGCGTCAGGAGGACGCTCACAAAAGAGTTTTGGTTGGTACGTGTCGACCCATTCAGATAGACATTGGTATGAGCCACATCGACATGAATGGAGTATTAGACTGTGGGAACATCAACACTGGCCTCTGTCTCCACGTAGCCTCGCAGGAAAATAAAAATCACTCCACAATAAACATTCCTTCGATCCCTCACGCACAAAGATACTTACGTGCACGTACGTACACACTCAGATATAGCAACTTGAATGTATTTCTGTTTTTTTGATGAATGATCCAAAATGATTCAGGGGTTAACCAAGAACATGAGAAAAAGGGGGAAGAGGAATGTGCTAATTGGTTGTTGTCTGTGGTGATGGATGGGAGCCGTATTATTAGCCCGCTAGGGTTACTGTGGGGTTTGCTCTGGTCAGTGTAAAGAAAAAAATATCCCATACTTTTTTTACGTTACACACATACACACACACACACACACACACACACACACACACACTTCTTCCTCCTCTCATGAAAAGTCTCTGACCACTAAATAGAAATGGATACAGGGAGAAAAAGAAACACAAAGAATTTTCCAACTGGAGCAGAAAATCCTCCTTTTTTTGCCCTGTGAAGTGTCAATTATTATTTCTGACAGTTCTTTGCAGCCTGATTAAGACACCCTAAAGTTGTAATGATGTCAGGTATAGAGTATTAATCAGTTTCATTAAAAAATGGGAATGTTTGATGATACAGCTTTGAACCAAACACTGTATCCCTATTTCCCCTGATAAACGCCTTGGCCTAGCTTAAAGAGCACCTCCATTCTGACTGACCCGATGACACTACCACTTTCCAGCTCAGCTCTCTACATTCTGGCTTTGGTAGCGATTGATAAGATTGTCCTAAGCCAAAAAATAACATGTAGGAGGAGTTCTAAAAATAAGGAGTGTTTGTTTCTGAGTTTCCCCACCAGTCAGCTGGTCACAAGAATAATGAGGCACTTTTCTATGCCCAGCTCCAGAAGGAACAGCATTGGCTACACTATTCAGACCTAGGAGAAAAACATTAATCTTTCCTCAACCAACCACCAATATCTTGAACAACGCTATTGACAGAATTCCTGGTTCTACAACTAAACAACTAACATCTCTGTTCCTCCTTGATGGTTTAGTAAATTAACATACAATCTCCTTTTCTGTTTTGTTGCTGTAAAAAATATATCTTCCATCCTCTGACACCTTCTGGCTCCATCTCCGTTGTCAATGAGTCATTTCGGGATGTGACTGATAGTCCACCAAATTATACTCAAGCCTGTTAGAACCAATGTTCAATCAAGCTTTTTCCACAAGGTGAAAAATGCAGCTAAGCATTATTTACATTTTTTATTTTAAATACAAATACAGTTGAGCATGCCAATCATATTAAACACACAGAACATGACATACTAAAGACGAAGTAACAGAAGTAGCAGTTGTAGTGAGTGACAGTAGTGGTAACAGTAGTAGTAACTAGTAAAAGTCCAGCTGTTAAGCCACAGAGAATGAAAGCTTGAACTCACTCCCTTAAGTTTGATTTGAAATGAAAGAGCTCAAAGTGGATTTGCCCAAAACTGAAATGCTGGTCATCCGCCTATAGAGTGATTTCTCAAGTAATGGGTAAAGACGAGACTCAACTGATGCAACATTTGCAAACAGTTAGTGAATCGGAAAATCCAGTCTCATTAAATTCTAGCAAACATGGCATGCGTGCCCAATGATCATGATAACTATATGTGTGCATAAAACAGGGACCACAAAAGAGCCATCAATCTTGCTTGGTCCGTCAATGAGCCAATGGTGGGCTACTCTTGAGACCCTTGCTAATTCAAGGGGTCAGAGGTCACTGTGGGAGAGCATTTGAGGCCAAAGGAGAAGCCAGCACACCCTCCCACCCACAGTGTCTCAACCACTCAATAAAAATGTGAGGAAGTAAGGACCCAGTATTGGTAATATGAAATAAACACTATGATTCAACTTCACTGCTGATCAATGCTACTATGTTGCAGCGTTTGTACATTTTGTTGCTGCTCGTCTCTGTAGCTTGGGGCCCCAACAGTTTTATAAAATCTACAGCGAGGTGTCCCTTCCCCCGTGTCTCTGCAGGATGGGGTCAGAGGTGGTGGCTTCAGGGCATAAACAACCATCTTTCTACTGCGCTTGGGACCAGCAAAAATAATTTTCCAGACATGATGTTAAATGTTCTGTGGAGGCCAGAGCATAAAGCATTCTGCTTTCAACAGCAGCCAGGTCCTTCAGAGCTTCTTTGGGGCCTTTAGGACAAGGGATTGTATGGCCCCGGTGTGTTTTAAAGTTGTTCAAGCCCCTTCACAGAAAGTGATTTATTACTGGACTATAACACAGGACACAGTGTGCCTGCCCCATTACAACATCCCACCTACATTACTCGCCGGCTTGAAGGCCTGTTTGGTTTGGCCATTGGAACTATTTGGCAAAGCTCATCAGTGGCACACTTTAAGAATATGAATTTGGATATACCAAAGACAGATTAGCATATTCAAGAATAGTACTGAACAAACACTATATCGAGTTATTTCCATGAGAATGGTGCTGACTCTACTCCCCTCAGTATGTTTTCCTTACTAATGAAAATGTCTAAATGCTCTAAAACCTATTATAGTACACCAATTACAATATGAGTAAATCAATATGAGTATTAGACTAAAGTATTTACCTCAACATTAGAGCACAGGGTGCGGTGCCCGGATAGTTCACCTGGTAGAGCTGGTGCCTCATGTACTAAGGCTGAGCCCATGCTGCAGCGGGCTATGGTTTGAATCCGACCCGTGGCCCTTTACTGTGTGTCATCCCCTGTCTCCCCCCTATCATGTCACTATCAATTAAAGGCAATAAAAGCCCCGGAAAAAATGTTTAGGGAAAGGAAAATGTGATTAATATAGCTTACAGAAGTAAACACCTCTTCCTTGTAGTTTAACTAGGTGTTGCCAGTGCAGTGTATG